AAAAAAAAAAAAAAAAAAAAAAAAAAAAAAAAAAAAAAAAAAAAAAAAAAAAAAAAAAGAAGTATATTTATTATTAATGCATATATGAAACCGATGAGATGAATATATGAATGAAAATAATGACGAAATAAAGTACTGTCTTTATTCACGTTCGTATGGTGCTTTTTTTTCACAAACTCTCCTCAACATTATATTCCCAATGACTTAATGTATACATTTCTATAGTTGCAGTAGAAACAGATGAAACAGGTAAGACACGTTTTTACACATTACGAAATAGAAAGCTTTTTTTTCCAGAGACATCGTCGGGGGTTGAACAATCAAAAATTTCAACAACAACGACAACTATTATTATTATTATTATTATTATTATTTTTTTTTTGACAAGTGTTAAATTAATGTATATTATGTATTTATATTGTGACAATCTGTAAACATGTTACTTTGGTACTGTTTATTCGATGGATTAACAACAACGCAGTGTCATCAAAAATCATCCCAACTTTTGTAAATTGTTTACTCTTACTCTACCTGTGATAACGATTATTGCGTATAGTAACATATAAAAGGTCTGTCATATGTATATATTGTATACCCCTCGAGGCACTTATATACTCTCATCAGCCCGGAAACGCCACTTATCATTACGTAAGAAAAGAATCTCTGATCATTTTTTTTCCCCCCAATGATCGGCATTTAATTTTTTGAAAAAGCCAATTTGTCCAAAATGTACGTATTCCCGTACTCCCACACTATTTTTCGATGAGTCGAAACACCGGGCACTCTGTGTTACACACAGTAGAAAAAAAAAAAAAAAAAAAAGAAAAACCTCTGCCTTGACTATACATAGTTATAAAATGTACACGATGAGAGAGAGAGCAAAAAAGTCCAATCGTTGAAACAACAGCCGCACAACACACGTTCCATTGGTCGTCGGAGATCGGCGTTCAGAGGAAGGTGCTCCAGTAGACGATGTTGAGGATGAGGAAGGCGAACGGAAAGAGAAAGCGCGATACCTTGTCGATGGAGATGGCTATGGCCCGGCCACCGCAGCAGGTGTCGTACTGGGCCGTCGTCGGCCGCACCGGGCTCCTGCTTCGCTCCGACTCCGACCTCATTGGCGTCTATGCGGTCGTTGCATCGTTGCCGTAAAAAAAAAAAACAAACCAAAGAGACTTTTCTTTTTATTGCGATTTTCATTTAAAAAATATGCAACGTCAATCATTCTATGACTATGGGTCCCCTCAGTGGTAGGGACCGAGTAGTTGAAATATTTTACCCTTCTTATTTTCCATACGTGTCGTCACACATATATATTCTGGCGATTATTCCGATGCGCATCGGTAACAGCAAAGATCGGCAAAGAGCCCGTCTCTCTACCATCCGACACTCGTAGACGATTAGGGAGTGTAAAATATTTGCATGATATACCTTGAACTCGTCGATGGCTTCGCGGAGGTCCTCGTCCGAGTAGCCCTTCATGGCCTTGGTGGCGACGGGCCCCATGTAATTGTTGACTATGGCGAACTCCATGAGCGAGAGGAAGACAAAGACGCTGCACGACGACATCCACACGTCTATCGCCTTGACGTACGACACAGGCGGCAACGACTGCTGGGACTGCGTGTTTTGCGTTGCTGGAATAATCGTAATTATTACAACGTGAGTGTGTTTAGCTCTTTTTACAACCCCGAGGGTAATGCATATGCATGTACATTTTCACGCGGCGCATCGTCGCAGGGGTGGGTCATACAAAAGGAATGAAAGATCGACCGCGCGATGTGTACATCCCTCGAATAAGAGAATGCGAGAAAAGCGTCCCACAATCGCGCGGGTGTCAACAATCTCTCGCTCGAATCAAATCTGAATAGAGAGAGAGAGAGAGAGACCATAGCTACAATGGTACACGTATACGTGATCTGTTGTTACGTTCCCCCTTCGTATAACGTATCTCTATCGCGGTTCTATAGCCCATACCACCGATACGTACATGTATGTATACATGTGTATATACACACGCAAACCCCACGTATATACGCTATAAGGACTCTCGTACGGCTTCCCTGCAACGTGTTGTATTTTTCTTTTTTTTTTTTTCTCTCCCTTCCCTTCTCTCCTCGCTTATTTACACACGTACGCACCTACACGCGCACGCTCGACTTGATCACGCGATTCCCTCTTCTTATCGACCATTTTTATACACACACATAGGTGTATACATTACTCTCTCTTGATTGTATATGTTTTTCTTTATATAATATATGTATGTTTCGTTTGACGTGTGACATATACCTAAGGTGAGTAGCGAAGTGACGCCGAGGGTGACCCTCGCGGGTATCGCCTCGGGCTTGATCCAAAAGGCGATCCACGACATGACGACTATCAGGGCCGAGGGTATGTAGGTGTGGAATAGGTGGTAGCCCAGTCGACGCCGCAGGTTGAACACTATCTGGATGCAGGTGAAGTTCCCCGTCGAGTACTCGATCGTGCAATCGGTCGTGTAATTGTTGGCTATGTCCAGTTGGGGCAGCTCGATCTCCGGGTTCACGACCAGGGGGTCCGTCACGTTCCATATGAACACCAGGTCCTGCGTCGTGTGCGACACTGAGGGGGAAAAAACGACACTTGTTTGTTTGATTGATCGGTATGTACTTATTCCTAATGATTCGAGACTCACAACTTTCGATCATCATTGAGCATATTTGGGTGTCGTGGGGGTAGGACTCGAACTTCATGGCGCACGACAGCACGAGCGTCAATCTGCGGGACGGATGGATAAAACCATATGAAATGATGAAAAAAAAACAACCCCTACAGTATTGACATACGCACTTGGACATGTAGAGGAGAGTCTTGTCGTGGTAGAGCCAGAGGTAGTGGTTTGGTATGGACATCTCGTGGAAGGTGACCTTCTTGGCGTTCTTGAAGAAACAGTCGGGCCTCCAAATGTTGTGCAGCCAGTCGACGTCGAGGATACGGTACTCCTCGGACATGTTCTCCGGGAGCCTCAGTCGCGAGTCCCGCCAGCTTTGCGCGAGAAATATGTCCGCCACGTACGTCTGCTCGATCGATCGGGGAATTTTAAAGAAATGTAAAAAAAAAAAAAAAAAAAAAAAAGTTGTGCACTGTGCAGTATTAAAAATAGTCTTGGGGCTCTCAGATGAGAAAGAGATGTGTGCATCTATCGCGACTATAGATATAACGACGACTTAGAACGCGAGTCATTAACTAAAAAAAAAAAAAAAAAAAAAATCGTATAGCTACGATGATTATGGTAATAGGGTATTCTAGTCAAGAGCGGATTGGTTTGTCGTCGTCGAAATGACCAAACAGTAAAATATACACGCGCGCGATTTGTCGAAGGAGTTGTATATAAAAATATACACACCCGCACCGTAGCGAGGTATCGTCGGTGGAGGTTGCAAATATATATATATGTGTATGCGAGCCAAAGGAGGGAGTATAGGAAAATTGTAACGAAAGAGATGGAGACGTGTATTATTATGATTAGTATTATTTGTGTAAGTCAATCGTAAGTCGATCGCTATTGGGGTAATATATCTTATTATCATTATTATTGATGAGAGATAAAACGTATACAAAAATCATTGAGTGATTCGCAAATTTGAGGGGAAAAAACGTGCGATTATGTATAACGGAATAATTTGGGATAATCGACGAACGCAAAAGGCAACAAAAATGAAAACGAGAATAAGAAGACAAAAATTCCACATTCCTACGTAACGTGTTAAGAAAAAGATTTAATTGTATAACGAATTAAACGAGAGACAGACAGATAATTAATTGTATAAGGTGTTGTCGTCGATTTTTTTTAAACGAGTACGATATACTAAGAGAACACAAGATTACTTATCTAATTGTCATTTTATGCTCGACGAATCGACGATGTTTCAATTAGGTGTGAAAATGAAAATAGGCCGATTAAAGTACGAATGAGTGTTGAGCGAGAGTGACGAATTTTTTNTGTTCTCTCTAAAAAAAAAAAAAAAAAAAAAAATTATGAGGGTTACGGTTGAGCGCACCATGGACTCCTCGTTTATCGAGTCTATGCTGAGGACGGTCACGTGGAAGTAGACGACGGTCGGCTGGCCCAGGAACTTTGGCGCCCTGTGCTTGTCGTAGTTCTTCGGGTTTATCGGCAGGATGTCTTTCAGGGACAGCGAGACCTCCTTCCTGCCGTAGTCCTTTGTGTTTTCCATTTCTCTACGGTGTTTTATTTTTAGTCGTTTCTTTTTTTTGTTTTTTTTGTTTTTTTTTTTTTCACTCGACGAGTGACTAATTGATATGCACGACGATTTTTTGATTAAAACTCGCGGGTGTACAATTCATCGTCAATTTCCAAAAATCCATTCAATGGCAAAATAAAAAAGATTCACAGTGATCAGGTGGTAATGTTATTAAGAGGAAAAAAAAAATGCGATTTCTCGCGAAAATCCGGCACGAATACACGCGTCAAGCTGTCCATTATCGTTACGCCGTATGAGATTGTCAATTACTCGGGAGAACTATTACGTATCTCGTGAAATTTTCAACGCAAGTATATATATATACACGATCAACGCGATCCCATTAATCAAGTCACGTCAATATTATTCCGTTTGAGCGTATTATATCGCGTGTATACGAACACGAGGATTGGACACACAAGCTGATGGTATAATTAACCCGCGGTGCTGATGGCACACGATCCATTAATCACCGTTTCGGCATCAACGTCGTTACTCGTCGATAGATTTTCGAGTCGAAAAGTAATAAAACCCTCCTCCTCGAGAGATTTTCCGGAGCTACGAATATAAAATACATAATACACGAGGGGTGGGGGGTAAGCAAAGAAGGGGGGGGGGAGATGCGCTCGTATAGATCGAATATTAGCGATTCCGATGAAACAGCAATATCGGGAAGGAGAAGCCATAAGAGGTCTCTTCGTGCTGTGCATACCCTAAAGTTCATCCAACGACGTTTCTTTGCTTTCCCTGTACTTGCCGTTAAACTTCATTAATAACACCGACCAGAGGGCAAGGGGGAGAAGAGTGCCGGGCTCTCGTTACGATTTCTCACACCCTTTTCACACCCTCACCATCCTCCCCTTCCCCACTTTTCTTTTTTTTTTTTTTTTTTTTTACACGTATACGTGATACACTCTTAATCTGAATAAGGAGAAAAATAGAGCGATAATTTTGTCGGTCGACACAAAAAAATTCTAGTGGAATTGAAAAAGTTTGTAAATGTTTACTGAATAAAACATACACCGGCGTGTTTTGCACTTTTTCAATTAAGATTGGCTCTCATTCATGCTAAGAGAGTATACAGTTATACTAATGTGCGAAATTCCAATTGATCTCGCCCTACTGAGTAACAATTTTTTTTTTTTTTTTTCCCTTAAAAGTAAGGATTATATATGCGAGTGTGGGGTGTACTGTGCATGTGCATGCCTTGTTTGCTCCGAGTGATTCAAAAGAAGTACGCGTACATTTTACCCGTTTGGTAGTACAGCATAAACTGCATTTTGCAAAAGAAAAACGTACGCGTACTTTTTTTTTCCAAATTCAAATTCGACCTCCGATGAAAAAACCGGTACGCGTACTTCCTTTGTATGCCATTCGCAGGTGCGTGAACGATCAATCAAGCCAATAACAAAATTCAACACATCAAAGTTTAACATGTATAAAGAAAAAAAAAAAAATGTAAAAATGCTAATTTTCGATACGAAAAAAACGTGCGAGATACATATTTCAATCAATATACGTGTACACAAAAATAGAGAGAGAGAGAGAGAGAGAGAGAGAGTTAAACATCGAAAGTAATTGTTTGTAGCGCCGGAGGGCGCCTTTACCTTGCGATCTTGGGAAAAAAGCGGTAGCCGCGTTTTCTCGCCGAAAGTCGAATCGTACGTGAGACTAGGCTATTGACCTTAAAGTGCCAACCCTCGACCTCCGTGGAGAGGACGGCCTCATACAAGTTGTCGCTGAGCACACACGCAACAACAATCGATTTAAAAACAACATGTTTTTCCATGATAATCAATTATTCCACTTTTTGGCCGATCCATTTCCATGATATTGGAATTCATGGGTGGACAATTTAGATGGGAGCAACGATGAAAAAAAAAGAAAAAAAAAAAAAAAAAAAAAAAGGAAAAAACGAAAAAAAAAAATATATACTCACGGATACTGAAAGGCTGCCATGTCCAACAAGGTAAAGAGGTAGCAGCATACGACCGCCAGGGAAAGTCTCCTCATGCCTGCGCTGTGATTTCCGACGAAAAACCCTGGCCTGCACTCCTATCCATCGCGCCGCTGGCCCTACAAATCCCCGAGCTTACCGATCAGCTGCACATATCCTCAACCCCGACCGGTCCCACCCCCCCCCCTCCCGCCCCCCGTCGCGCGCTTACTCGAGAGGACTATGCGACGGCCGACCCGTCCTCCTCCATCCTCCCGGCCAAAAGTGGAAAAATCGCGGAGTAACCGATCGCCCGGCAAATGATTCACTGGTACCAATGGGCCTACTTGTACCGCATGTTACCGGCAGCGTAGTACCAGACGGTTGAAACAACGCACATATATATATATATACGCACACCGCTCGCGACGGCACCTCGGCTGGACACGGAGTACACGCTCGGGCAACGGCTTCTGCCGTCCCAGCCGCGACAGTCGAGTGGGGGAGGAACCGACTCTAAGCCAATTTCCCTATCGACTAACTGATTAAGCCCTACTACTCTTTCATCGAGCGGGAGGGAAAAGCGCCGAGCGAGGTGTATATACACGCCACCGCGGACCCTCATCACGCGAACACCCGAGTCAACTTTACATCGAAGGAACGTGCGAGTGTGGGTATTTTACGTGGCGCGGCCATTTTTCCCGTAATGGGTGTATTGGCCATTCAAGGGTCAACGGTGAGACGGTGCCAAGGGAAAAAGGGGGGGGGGTTAATCCAGGTCCTGGCTTTTCTCGAGCCAAGGCTGTGTGCGGGTCTTACGTGGGAGTTAAGTCGACGCGAGGCTGCGTCAAACACAATTGCCGAGCGCGGGAGTGACAATCGCTTATCCGACCTCCCCCGGGATCTTGTTGTCGGTATCATGGCTCGTCTGCCGATTTGCATGATTTATTCCATTTGCATTTCATCGCGACGCCTTGTTTCGTAACTTGCATAAGCCTCGGGGGGGTATATAGGCGAGGTGGCGCTTATGTCCACTCGCTATTGCGAGAGAACGGCGTCGACTTTAATTTCCAGCCCTGCAAATCGCACGGAATTCAATTTAGCGGCAAGTGTTTCCCCCCACGTATACGTGTACATTGGCATCGATTCCGCAGGCTATTCGCGTAGTTCGATTGAATCGATGAAACCAGCGACCCCTTGATTGAAAAAGACCGTCGGACATGTAGCTCGGGAGCTTTCCAGCCGATGGTAAGTAAGCTTTTTCCCGCAGCAGATGGGTCAGAGCTTTTTCTTACCCCCCCTGAGTACGGTTAACTGCAGACGGTAAGTGATCGACGAGCGGTAAAAGAGGGGCTGTGAGGGAATTAATCGATGGTTGACCCTTCACCCCTTTTTTTTCTTCGGGTCACCAAACCGGAGGGGTGCCCGCGCGCTCTCTTGTTTATATTTAACGACGGCTGCAGACGCACTCGGTTGGGCTTTCTATTTTTAAACCCACCCGAGGCCTCCTTCTCCCTCTTGCATGTTTAACGAGCGAAACTCCGTTCGGCTCCGTTGTTTACTCTGTCCCAATAAGTCAAGAGCGAACTCGTGTTTTTTTTTTTTCCACTATGGATTCTAGGTTTCAATGGTGCAACGAACGGAGCAGGTGTTACATGAAACAAGGCAAAATTGGTAATCATATATAAACAATTTATTTATTACTCGTAAATGAATAAATTTAGTGTGAGCCTTTTTTTTTTTACAATTAGGACTATAACAGTTGAAATCAACGTTCGTTGGCCCGTCCTTCGGAGGACTCCTGATATGCTGTTGGATTTTTTTACCATTACATCTTTTTTTTTTTTTTTTTCATATGAATATATTTATTTACGTAGTTTTTTTTCGTAACGAATTTCACACGGGAAGCACCGCAATTATACAAGTTCACGCGTATCATTATAAGAAACAAAAAACAATACCCTTTACAATGTCCTTCTCCTTCCGGACTAGTTTGATTTGGTATTCCGCGACAAGACTACAAGATATACGACGACATTTATATAAAAACAAGAAAAACAACAATAATACAACACAAGGTATTACTGTCGACTCCTGTTTCCCGAGAGCTCGTGTACCACGGAGCACGGAACGACTGCTAATGAAGCTAATAACAAACTCTCTCGGAAGAAATAAGTTATCCCGGATGACGGGGCGTCGAAGCACGAAATCCCCGGAATCAGTAGTACGAGTCGGCGCTCGGTCGGACGTGGGATCAACGAGGCGGATCGATTTTTCCCTCGCGCCTTCATTAATAAAGAGCACTGCTACGGAAAAATGAAGTATGAAAAAAAAAAAAAGAGTCCGGTTCTCCCTCGTGTATACCAGGGGACCGTCTTCGAAATTGAAATCCCCCGAATATTTGCATCGAACCGTTGAACCGGAAAGGTTTAATCTTTGTCGCATCGAAGGAAAAAAATCTGCTTCCCATCCACGCGGGTGAACTCGACTCCGTCACCGGAAACAAAAACCGGCACTGTAATCAGCGCGTGGTCCGCGCGCGGCTTCTCATTTGCACGGCTGATTCGCTTTGACCCTTTCGAGAGCAAAAAAAAAAATTCTCGCGCGGGAGTACGATATCAGCTCTCTGTATTTACATTGTCGCGTCGGTGGATTTTTCACTCCACCCCTAATCCGATCTGGCTGCTCCCGCGGCTCTTTGACCGGATACGCGATGAAAGACGAGTAAAAAAAGGTATTCGAGCGCGATCAGTGCCGTTATCGACGCCCGAGGCGGGTTTCGGATTCGTCCCGTGCTCCGTGGGGTACATTGGCTCTTTGGTCTTGCTTCTGTTTCGATGGAACTGAAATAACTCCCTTATTCCCATCATACGAATGAAAAGCAAAGTAAAAACGTATAAGCTTCGACGGCACACTTTACCGATCTTTTTTCGCTTTCAAAACAATTGGAATACACACGGTGAATATGATCGATGTACGCACGCATAAGGTACTATTATTTTTGAGCTCGCAGGCGTCGATACATGTATATACGGATATGTATATTTTTGTTTTCTTTTGTCTTCGATGTGTGGCAAAATGAAAAGATAAAGATTTGTACAACACGTCACATCGAAAATCGCAGTCAAACCATCCGCACACCAAATCAACCTTCCACTCGACTACTTTATCTCCACACACGCTCCTATTAACGTATAATGCACTTTGACGCGTTGTTCTCACCTTCGATGCAACAAACATTTTTAACTCTCTTTTATATACATTGTACAATCTTCACTTTTACGCCTTCCTACAATCCATCACACGTAAACAATACAACGCGCTTTTTTAACAATCGCATAAACAACGTGATATGTATAACACGCCGCATGGCGCGGCGAAGCTCGCGCTTCCTCGTGAGACGCGCACGTGCCGACTCGAGAATCAATCGAAGATATACACATAATATGTACAGCAGAGGGGTACAAGAGGATAACGAAAGGGTGGAAAAATAATTACACAAGAGACCCTCGATTCGATCAGCTCCATACTACGTGATATATACAACACTATGTACATGATGCAATGTGTATGTATATGTAAAACCTGCGTTTCCCTATGACCACACGAGTACGGATTCAGGGTGCAACGTACACCCAAAGGGTATATGCATAGGTACACGCGCGTGTCGTTAAATTTACATTAGTTATCTCGAGCGCCGCGGCGAGTCCGCGGATCGTAAACTTTGTACGATATTGCTTCTCCGATAGCTCCCCTCCACGTCCGATACCCGCGCGATGAGCGAGTGTGCGGCCACTCGTGGGAGGGCGAGGTAAGGCTGTATACGTATATGTTACAAGGGCTCAGGCTCGTCCTTTTCCCTCGTGAGCGACGAGTGTTTTTTCTTCAGCTTCGGCTAACCACGACGGATGTGTGGGCGTGTGTGCGACGTCTTTGTTTTTTAACTGGTAATAGCTTTTGCAACGATTTTCACTTTGTAGTTACGTCATAATATTATAGTAGTCAACTTTAATTTTTTCTTTTTTGTTTTGTTTTTTATTTTTTTTGTATTAAAAAAGCAAGTAGTTCAGCAATAATGAGAAGAGTATATGTACTTTTTGTCAGAGAAGGACGGAAAAACCTTGAGTTTTGAGATCGATTGAATTTTTGTTATGGTCATGAACGTTTTTAATCTTAGATTCGCAAAAATGTATTTGGAAAGACGTAGAGCGTGGATACAATATTGAGCCGAAAACTTGATAGTATGGATGTAAAATTTTTTGTAGAAAGAGAATTAAGCTTATTGGATGTGAAATTTCGCGCCTGTGTATACTTACATGTTTGTGTGAGCAAAGACGAGCCTGTGCCATTTTTCCAGCGACGTAACGAGCCACTGGTCCTCGACGGGTGAGATAAAAGTACATAATATGGTTCGACAATTTTCTGCACGTGCATCAAACATCACTTTAAAAATTCCACGATCCCCACGATATCGCATTCCCGAACGGTTTGAATTTTGAAACAGCGCCATGAATATAAATATAACGACTCGTCAAAAACGTCCATCAAATTCTATATTTGTTTTTATTGGCTCCCTGCATACACACATTTTCACAGGGTGGTAAGCTAAAATGTACATGCCACGAGGATTTGCTCTTTGCTAAAGTACGTCAAAATCGCTTAACGTGGAGTCTCCCAACTTTAACAAACAGCTAATAAATGACCCGCCGTTGCGCGGAAAGAGAGACGGGTTCTTCCCGTTGTTTTGTTGGCGAGTCTTTTCGCGCGCAGCGAGTCGAGAATACGGCAAAAAAGCCTGATGTTTTCCGCCTCTCGAGCACAGCGCGCCGTTTCTGCTTCTCGCCCATTGCGTCTTTGCCCACCTCCCCCTGGTCTTGTTTTATTTTTATTTTTTATTTTTATACTAAGTATTTCTAGTTCCGCCGTCTTTGTTTGAGAGAAGCGTGACTTTGCCAGCTGCAGTGCTCCCGGAAGACCGTGTACGCGAAGAGCGAGCATTGATTCGCGATGAGTTGTCTGTTTTGATCAGTCGAGGAATCCCCGAAGTGAGAGAGAAGGAGAATAATTTCTTCCACGCGGTAAAGATGGTACAAAACGAGCGCTGGTGAATGTAAAATCTCCTCGAGCTTTGCTGCGCACGGACGAGGTGGTGTTTGTACGTGTACACTACTGACGAGGGAGTTTGATCGATAGTATACTGCGTTTTTCGGGTGCGTACGGTAACGCGGTGTATTAATTTGAGATCGTTTTTAACGAAATTATTTATTAATATTACTCAGGTTTTTCAAACAATTGTACAAGTTAAATGTGTTTAACAACTTTGCAGTTGGTAGTGACGGGCGTGTGTACAAGTATAAAAACAGGTCATTTCTTTGTTTCAGTTCATGGATGAGGGTTGTGATTCACAAGTTGCGAGTCTTTTCCTCTGCTTTCGACAATGAAAATCCATCGAAACGTAAAAAATCCCTTAAAAACTCCATTTAAAAACTGGCTGTTCTCTCTAAAAAAAAAAAAAAAAAAAAAAAAGGAATCAGTTACATTCTGTTGCGGTAAATGAGGTCTCTTTTGAAAATCAACCAAAGCATACATCCGAAGCTCGATGCCGCGATCGACCAAACAAGGAAGTGTAATACTGATGTCGAGCGAGATGACTCTTAAATGCAAATTTGTACCTTTCAGTAAACGCATGGCAAACAGGCAGCGATCGTGATCATTCTCATCTGTACAATATCAACGAAACGTCACGTTTTCCAACAACGTATACATACATTATGATTATGTACATAAGCTTTTTTTTTTTTTTTTTTTTTTTTTCAATTACACACAATAAGCGCCAATGCTTCGATTAAAACTAAGGATTTACCTAAGATGTTTTCTTTTTTTCCAACATAAATAGCTATTGAAACGGGGTGTACTTTTTTCGTTTTCAAAAAAAAGGAAACAACGGGTTCGCACAAACATATCATCTTCCTCGTCTACAACAACACTCGTCACTCGATTCGACCACAATCATCCATCGCCAGTAAGGACAAAACTATATTTACAAACAGCTCGATACGCATTATCCTGCTCGCCACAAAGTATTTATAGTATGTATATTTGTCTTAATTTTTTTATATATTTATATATGTATATACGCATATCATACAAACAATGTGTTGTAAAGCCTTAACGTATGTACAAGAGACGTGTGATGGGGCAACGAGTGTTGCGGGCCATGGTAAGATGAAACGGCGCAAAAGCAGATGGTACCTATGGGTGGATACCCCTCGATCCGTGTGGTCACGAGGACGAGGTTGGGCTACACACGAGGATGAGGAGCAGGAGACCAAAGAGCAGTGGACTCGCGCCGGAAGACGTTGCCGAGCTCGCGCGGGGCAGTTTGATCTCGACCTCGGCCATCTTGAAGATCGAGAGCAGCGGGTGGGTGTAGACCTCGTGGTGCCGGTTGTTTATCTTGTCGCTCAGGCCCTGCAGCATCGACGCGCACTCCTCCTGCGAACAAAGCACACACGCCCCTTCAGTTCAGTTCTTTTTTTATCTCTCTATTTTTTTTTTTTTTTTTTTTTTTTTTAAGCCTATGTTTTGGGTGTCAGTGTTAGTTCCTCTTTGTATTTTTACTGTTTTACACGGGTTGTAAGTAGAGCTGTCCGACGTTTGTAACGCACATACAAGGGTAGTCGTGGAAAATAACGCTGGAAGATTATCGTAAGGGATGAAAAATGAAAATCCCACTCTCCGGCCCAGCTCCCGGGCTTAATTCAAGTAGTCACTCCCGCCTCGCGCGCATTAAATAGTCTTCGCAGGTGAGAGGAAATTGCAGCCAACGCGACCTTGATCTTGCGTCGTCTCTTGGAGGGCGACAAAAAGCCATTACCTCGGTGGGGCAAATTCGCGACGGAAATTAAAGATTCAGCGAGCCGCTCCGGTAATTTACGGCGCAGCTGTCTATCGAAGTTTTTCCCCCTGCCAATGTATACCACTCCCTTTTCTTTTCTGTCGCGATTTCGAGGGGAGTTGGATTTATCGGCTCAGGCGGAGATTATTACTCGGTACAGTTGGTGTCGCGACCCCACACTGGAAGTCCATTTCACGAAAATTTAAGGGTGAGTCCATCAGGGAGGGTCTAATTGAATGAAAAACCTATTGTTTTCTGCGTGGAATGGATGATTTCAAGGTAGTAATCTGTTCTACCTTGATGCTTAAGTGATAATCAAAGTTTTTTGCTTTGCTTCATAATATCAGAGCATAAAAATAAATTGTATTTTTGGGAATCGTTTTGATGGTTGAAAACAAAGAGCAGAGATAAGATCTCGAAGGCTTGCAGCCAAAAAATTGGTTTATGGTTGTTTTTTCATACAAAATTTTTAAATGATCCTAAATGTTTTAATATAAAAAGAAAAAAAAAATATTGATGTTTCGTTCACTAACTTTTCAATAAATTTTAATTTGAAAAAAAGCTAGTTAAAGCGGATCACGTTTCCATTCTAATTTTCAGTAAACGCACCTGAGAAAGGAACCTGAGGTTCGCACCTTCCAATTAATAATACAATACAAGCCGTTGGTTAGCTATGAACATACATTACAAAAGAAACTATTCTCACGCAAGTGTGACAATGGCCTGATAATTTGTATGCTGAACTTTTGACACACTTAATCGTTGCAGGTGACTAATGTTACTACCCAGACATTATTTCCAAGCGAGTGATTATTCAGCGGCAGTAAGTGTAAATAAACAGAAATTGTTCAAAAGTCGATTTAAAAGTCATTACGCGCGTTGTGCTCCAGTTCTCCGCAGCACCAGAAAACACAAAGTAGATTTTCACGAGGATTTCATGAAGGGGCGCGCGGCTACACCCATACACATCTTGTCGGAAAAACGAAACGTTTTCTGTGGGCCACGGAATTAGAGCTGCGCCGAAAAATGTATTATTAAACTTTTGGCGATAAAACAGCCGAGCACGTATTTTTGAGATTAAAAAGATTACGTTGAAAAAAAAAAAAAAAAGCGAGAGGATCTGGGGAATTTAATTTAATCCAGTTACTGCGTACGTATACGGTCCTTGAAATTTCTTCGCCCCAAAGCACCACAAATCAAAATAAAGAAAACTATTATACTTATTGTTTTATGTTGCGACGAAGTCAAACTTGGCGCGTATCCGCAGTGCAATTAACAGTAATACCATGTGGGCAAAAAAAGGAGGAGAGAAGCAGAAAAGAAAAAACACCCGAGGAACCATTGCTGGCACCACCGAACTGCAACTATTGGGGCCGGAATTCCCGAGACTTGACAAATAACGTGTTTAATTTGCACAAAAAAGTGACCACCAGCGGATGCATAAACGTACGGCGGTCCGGTTTCCACATATCCGCAGCGCATTACCAGCTCAGGTGCGAACAAATTCCGCCCAACATCTTTAGGAAATTCCCAGAAATTGTGCACTGGTGGTATAATTGCACCCCTGCCCGTGGGATTAGCCGTTCGCGGCCTCCATTCGCGCGAACTTTCCCCCGAGTCGATGGGCGTGGTGCTCTTAGCCACGTATGCTCACATGACTATCATGAAATTTATTGTTATTTAAATTTGTTTTTTTGTGATGGTTTCAATTTTTTTGTATACTGTTAAGTACTCCTTTCCTTTAAAATCTCTGAGATGTCCTGCTAAATATTTAAGAACCAAATGTAGCGTCAAAGACCTGGAAGTTAGTCAGGAGACATTTTCATAATATTGTGGGGTGGGCGTGTATGGTACTACGTATATACACACAATATAGCTCAGCAGCAACGAGAGCAGGTTGGATAACGAATTTTCGCCACGCGACTGAAGAGCAAAAAAATAAGGGGAGGTGGGAAAAAAAAAAAAAAAAAAAAATTACTCGCAGAGCATGAGCCAGCCGCAAGGGTGCATAGAGCGCGAGAGCCGCTGGTAAAGAGAGTATCGCGTGGTGGTGTGCAGTGCGAGTCGAGAGGGCGGAGGGAAAAAAGTGAAAAAATGAAGCCACGAGTCGGGAAGGGAGTAAAAAAAATCGTGGTTATAGGGCACGTATATGTGAAGTTGGTACAGCAATTTTTGTTTGTAAGCATATAGCGATGTATATATATTTCCGGTGTATGAAATAGATTATATCCGCGGTGTGTTGATTCAATATTTAATGTACACATATTATATCTGTTGAAAAACGTGAATACTCGGTATGTAAAATTATAAATTTATGAACATCGTAACTTTCAATTCATTAAAATGCCATGAAAAAACTTAAACTTTCATGTTTATTTATTATATACATGTACTAATTACAGGATATATGATCCGTGGGAATATTTAATTTAAAAGTTTGAAACAATAAACAATGAATGATACAAATATAATTTAGTTTTTTAGACAAGTAAAAAACAATAAATTTATAGNTACTATTTATCAAGTTTGAACACTCATAACTTTACAAACAATAGCCACATAAAAAATACTGTTTATTAAAATATTATAAAAAAAATTTGTTGAAGAAGTTTTGTAGAAGCTATCATTTCGGTGTTTTCTCTTTCTCCTTTTCACTTGGTAATTTTCGTTCAATTTCACTGGCACGCAGTGCACTGTAAAATAGAGAAAAAAAAGAGAGAAAGAAGGGGACGATTATCGCCCCGAGGCTAAATAAGCTTTTTTCGCTTCAGGTACAGTTTTCAAAGTTTGAAACAATAAACAATGAATGATACAAATATAATTTAGTTTTTTAGACAAGTAAAAAACAATAAATTTATAGTCTAAAGCATTAATTTTTAATGAAACATGATTTTTCTACAAATTAAAAAAACAAACTGAAAAACTACCATTGCACGAAATGATTGTACTATGTTGACATTTTTGAAAAAACTTGAAAAGTGATCATGTTTTTTAAGTTATCCTTTAGCGAGCTTCGTTAAAAAAACAAAGCTCGAGTAGCAATTGCTGCAAGTACGTCGAAGTCCTGAGGTACGCTTGTGGCGCAGTTATTTTGACTAATTTTCCCTCGATCTTTGACGAAACACACGTACGCTCTCCCCCTCGGCTTTACAGTGATGAAAAGTAGAAAAAAAAAAAAAAAAAAAAAAATTAGAAGAAGAAAAACTAAACGTGCTTGGTCACGAAATGCAAATGAGCCGTGTAACGCTCGCTCACGTTTCCCTTCATTTTTTGCCCTCTCGAGTTGCCTTCTTTACTTCGTTTTAATTGGATTTTTTTTTCCCATTACTTCTTTTTTTTTTTTTTTTCATATGAATATATTTATTTACGTAGTTTTTTTTCGTAACGAATTTCACACGGGAAGCACCGCAATTATACAAGTTCACGCGTATCATTATAAGAAACAAAAAACAATACCCTTTACAATGTCCTTCTCCTTCCGGACTAGTTTGATTTGGTATTCCGCGACAAGACTACAAGATATACGACGACATTTATATAAAAACAAGAAAAACAACAATAATACAACACAAGGTATTACTGTCGACTCCTGTTTCCCGAGAGCTCGTGTACCACGGAGCACGGAACGACTGCTAATGAAGCTAATAACAAACTCTCTCGGAAGAAATAAGTTATCCCGGATGACGGGGCGTCGAAGCACGAAATCCCCGGAATCAGTAGTACGAGTCGGCGCTCGGTCGGACGTGGGATCAACGAGGCGGATCGATTTTTCCCTCGCGCCTTCATTAATAAAGAGCACTGCTACGGAAAAATGAAGTATGAAAAAAAAAAAAAGAGTCCGGTTCTCCCTCGTGTATACCAGGGGACCGTCTTCGAAATTGAAATCCCCCGAATATTTGCATCGAACCGTTGAACCGGAAAGGTTTAATCTTTGTCGCATCGAAGGAAAAAAATCTGCTTCCCATCCACGCGGGTGAACTCGACTCCGTCACCGGAAACAAAAACCGGCACTGTAATCAGCGCGTGGTCCGCGCGCGGCTTCTCATTTGCACGGCTGATTCGCTTTGACCCTTTCGAGAGCAAAAAAAAAAATTCTCGCGCGGGAGTACGATATCAGCTCTCTGTATTTACATTGTCGCGTCGGTGGATTTTTCACTCCACCCCTAATCCGATCTGGCTGCTCCCGCGGCTCTTTGACCGGATACGCGATGAAAGACGAGTAAAAAAAGGTATTCGAGCGCGATCAGTGCCGTTATCGACGCCCGAGGCGGGTTTCGGATTCGTCCCGTGCTCCGTGGGGTACATTGGCTCTTTGGTCTTGCTTCTGTTTCGATGGAACTGAAATAACTCCCTTATTCCCATCATACGAATGAAAAGCAAAGTAAAAACGTATAAGCTTCGACGGCACACTTTACCGATCTTTTTTCGCTTTCAAAACAATTGGAATACACACGGTGAATATGATCGATGTACGCACGCATAAGGTACTATTATTTTTGAGCTCGCAGGCGTCGATACATGTATATACGGATATGTATATTTTTGTTTTCTTTTGTCTTCGATGTGTGGCAAAATGAAAAGATAAAGATTTGTACAACACGTCACATCGAAAATCGCAGT